TCTCCTACAGTGGGCGGCTCTTCATTCTCCCAGTCCCCGCCTTTGCCTTCTGTGGCTTGGGCGGTGAGGCTCAAGCACTTGCTGGTGAAGACTGAGGCAAAAAAGTCATTGAGTACCGCCGCCTTCTCCGTATCCCGGGTAACCAGGTCTCCCGTTTCCTTTCGGAGAGGGCCCACATTTTCCATCGTCTTCCTTTTATCCCCGACGTACCTATAGAATCTTTTCTTGTTGCCCTTGACGTCGCCGGCCAGATTTAATTCTACCAGGGCTTTAGCTTTCCTAACCTGATCCCTGGCTGCTCGGACGATTTCTCTGTAGCATCTGCAAGGCTATTCATATTTACTGATGTCCTTGAAATCTAATGTTCAGCTGTGCATGTAGAAATAAGTAAAACTGAGCAATTAAGTAAACGCTTCTCTTTTAGCCTGATGCATAAGCAATACAGACTGTCACAGAAGCTACTGACCAGAATGCAAATCAAAGATCACAAAATAAGATGGCACAGAAATATATGACAAGGCCTAACTGGCTGCAGATAACCGATACTGGGTTACATTACCTGCAGGTTACTGCAGATCCAGTATTACTGGTTTTCTTCATTTGTTTCTTTCATAACCCGAGACAGTCGGTTTTCTATGATATTACTGCATGTCATCCTACCCTGTGATACAATATTTCTCATTCATATTAGAACTGAATTACACAAGCATGCATTTAAAAGTTTGGAAATCAGGAAATTAATACAGTTCTCTTGTAATTATAATGGTTGCCATCCCAGCACCCTGCATATACCGTGTAAAAATCTGCTAAAAATTCTGGGATAAGAAAATGTTTCTACAACCTGAAAAGGCATCAATTTTTCTTTAACAAATCTTAATTTTTAACAGTTTGAAATCAAGTATTTCCAGAATTTTGGTGGATTTGTTTTTGGGGATGTGAAACCCAGGCTTAACGACATATTACTGTTTATATTGCCTGTAGCTGTATAAAATGCTTCATAGAAAACACAAACCTGAGCACAGAACAAACAGTGTAGAAAAGCAGTATACTTGAAGATTCATACAGTTTACTTTTAATTTTTGTATTGAATTATATTTCAGCACTGCAATAGAAACTTTTTTCTTTTAATTAAAAACACCGTGTTAGACCAGCCATTCTTCTGCCTATGCTATGGTTTTTTGAACTAATCAGTACAGCAGAAGTTTTCATAATATCTTTGTGTCAGCCTACAGATTAACAACACATGGGGGAACACATGCATATAATGAAAATCAACTTGCTGCAGCAAAATATTTAGAATTATACAATTCCTTTCACACAGACTTCATTTAATATTGTCACTATCTGAGCCATCCTCTGTCGAAGAATCACACTGATCACTGCAAGAGCACTCAGAGATCAGTCTGCACATTGCTTACAGGCTGACCGCATTCCAATTCAGGCAATAATGAACAGCGGAGTTTATAAGATGCACAAAACCCCAAAATGCTTTTATGAATGTGGTGAATTCTATCCTCTAAGAATATCTAAGAGGATATTCAGAAAGCAATCACACAAGTAGAGGATACGTTGCAGCAGCAGAGAGTGAGTAAATCATACTGCCTTTATCTAGGCCTTTCCTTTATAATCTCACACAGCATTTCTGAGTAAATCGGGAATTTTGCTCTGAGTTTCTATAGAAGTAGGCTGTAACCTGAACATCCTTTCACATATAGATGTAATGGTAGCAAGTGCCTAAGCATAGCAAAAGAGAATATAAAAACTTTACAGGCTTTTATAGACATTCAGCTCATACGGCCACTTCAGACAACACGTGCGACAGTCTGTTAATAGTAATTTTGCTCTCCCAATCTATGCTTTGTGAGTAGCAAGCAACTCTATGTTCCTAACAAAGTTCCTCCTCCTTTTGCCTAATCAGGTTTTTTTTCTTTCCTTTCTCTTGAAATTCACGCCCTTAAACCCAAGCACACATCTCTCTTCCTTCAACAATATCCCCAACCTCAGCTACAGAAGCTACTGTCCTTTGTGCGGTTTGTTTTGTTTTGTTTTGAAATAGCTTTTAGGCCCTTTGCAGGGAATGCACCTTCTCTGTTAATTTTTTTATGTCATTGTCCAAACCATAGTCAAACTGGGCCCTCTGTTGGTAGGAGACAATAAAATGTCTCATGTTAAGTGACTTTCCTATGAATTCACTCTCTTCATTTCAGACAACTATATGTCTAAAATAGGCAGGAAATAAAAGGAAACTGAGTATCTTTATGTCTTAAATGGAGACAAAAGGTCAGTTTACATGAAGTCTTACATGATTTTCTTAAACGTTCACTCTTTGATCTGTTTAACTTACTTGAACTGAAGAACTGTTTCCCAGGAAGTTCCAGTTTATTTGAATGAAATGCTCACATAAGTAAACTAAGTCTACGTAGGCTACAAGAATACCTGCGATCAAACCCACAAGCACTTCAAATGGTCAAAACGCCCTCCCTTCCAGGATGCAAGAGGCTCTGGGGAGGAAGGGACTTTTCCAGTGTGAGTCAAGTTATTGCCCTAATTAAAGTAACGTGAAGAAAAGAATAAATGATTTATCCTAATTTTCAGAGAGATTTGAGAGAGGAATGCTAAGAGGCAGAAAATTCAGTAGTTTCTGCAGCCTTATTTCAAGTTCAAAGCCAGCCAGCTCCGTATGAATTAGAAGTCAGCTCTAACTTCACATATTCCCTGACTTTAAGGTCAGAAAACCACTGTCATCCTCTAGTTTGTACTCTTGCATTAACTGACTCTAAAGGCTGTAATTCCACTGAAGCAGGTAGGTCAACAATGATGCTGTAGCAAGGTATTTTCTGATAGCCCTGTGGAATCTGTGGTGTTTGGCAGAGCTGCCAGAGGAAGAGCCATCCTGTTTTTTCCCTGTCCTTCTTGTGTTAGCTGGTTCCTGGAGAAACTAGATATATTTTCTTGATAGGTGACTGACAGTTTTCATACTTCATAGTTGCCTAGTAGCATTCCTGCATTATTTTATACTGCTATTTTTTCCAGAAGGCCTTCCGAATACTGTTTGGGTTTTTTTGTTTTTTGGGGGTTTGTTTTTTGTTTGGTTTTGGTTTTTTTTCCCCTTAAGTACTTACTGCTTGATGCTATTATCTAAGTATGTCTTGCTTTTCAAATACCAAAGCCAAAAAATGAGCATATGACAATACATGATAAGTACTCAGTGTGAAACCAGATTAGCAGAGGTCCTGCCTAAATACTATGATGCAGTGCCCTGAATAATAACAAGCAACAGTTTATCAGTTCGAACACACACAGTATGACTATGCACCGAGTTTTGAGAATGAACTCTCAGATGAATACATAGCATTACACAAGCCAGTATAGCAATCAACAGAAAAAAGCAACTGGCTATTTGATATTCCACAGGCAGCCATAAAATCTGATTTTATAACTCCTTTATATCACCAGAGTTGGGGATTTCACTATATAGATGTGTTCATTTCACGGTTCATTAATACACTTGCTATTTCGTAAGGCACAGATACTAATTTTAAATACATTTCTCCATATCTTTCAAAACTGACTTAAAACTTTAAACTACTAATAAATTCGAATTAAAATTAATTTTAAATTTCTTCACTTTTTCCCCCATGGCAATAATGAAGTATTACTTTAAAATTATTTAGTTTCTTATTACAAAAATAATAATCAATCCATAAAATACATATTTAAAAACTATTTTCTCAAGCTGCAACAGAACTTGAAGATGTTTCCTTTGTTAGTCACTGCAATGTAGTTTCCTCACAAGAACTGGAAGTACCCACCCCCTCTGACCATCCAGACTCACGTCCTTCTCTATTGCATGACTTCCCCATCAGTCCTCCTTTCCTTCCTCCCTCAATGTCTTTGTTTTAGTAAGTAAATTTGACAGTTTTCTCTATAACGTTTTAAAAGAAATAGAGGATCAGGGTACGTGTCGCGTTGCAAGGAGCACAGTATTTGCTTTTACTCTCTGGCATTTATTTCCCATGCAGGATGCGCAAGCTCCAGAAATGAAGCATGATTAGAAACGTCAACCAAAGCATCAGATTGCCCAGCTGCTGACATCTGAAGTATTTACCCACCTGCTTGCTCCAAAGCAACCATCGTTGCCTGCTCAATTAAGTCACGTTCAATGAAGCTTCTGAAATCTTCACTGTACACGCTAAGGTCTGGTAGTTGGAATGTGTAGATGGGCATCTCCAAAGGAAACTGTTCATTGCTGCACTCATTTGCTACATGTGATCGAGCAAGGGAGACTATGGCTGAGCTGGCATGAGAAATACCTCTGGAAAGACGCTTTTCTGCAGAGAAACCAAAGAGATATTATAGCCTAGAAGACTACGTAAAAGACCAGCCAACACCAAGTCTGGCGAATGCCCATTCATTTCACTCAGGAATTTATTCCACTTCTTGTTTTACCTTTTTTGTGTTATTTCCCTACTGTAAAAGATTGCTGAGTTCTTTCTATGGATCCCTATGGCAAGTCGTAGGAACTCTCCTTCCAGCAAAATAGATAAACAGTAAAAGTAACGAGATATGAAAGACAAGTATTTCTATAAAAAAATTTTTTTAATGTATCTTAAGTTTCCAAAGGTGCATTGGAAAAAACATTTACTGGAAGACAGATGATAATGAATTAATGTTTTGAACTCTCAATTTAAGTTGACTTCTTGTGAATCAAAAAATCCAGCATTCTACAATCACTGCATATCAAACGTGCCATACAGTTATAATCTCAGAACAATCCACCTGGAAGCAATTTTAACATCATTATGCTGAATTTAAGACAAACTCAGTTTTTATGCATATGTGTTTTCTAAACTCCTGATCCAAGGAACAATACATAGTTCAAAAAGAATGATGAAATTAACAAGCCTGGTACAAAAGAAGGCATTATTTTATCAAAACAACTATGAGCTAAGATCTTACACTTTATTGAATTTCTCTGTGGACAAATGCTATAGAAGGAACAGTGAAGGGTCATTAAAGCAAAATAAGCATTAGAATGTTAAGAAAGGGAAAAAATAGTACTATCGTATCATTTCACTTTACTACACGGCCTCAGTTCTGGTATCAGCAAATGGGCAACAGAAATACTCTTCAAGTGCTTAAACCATGAATCATTCAGTCAAAACTGATAGAGATATTTTCCTTCTGCTTAGTTTCTACCCTGTACTCCTAGTTATATTTTTAAAAACTGAAATGAACGTTTTGTAGCTGCCTAAAATTTATGTTCATCAAAAGTTACTAGTCTTTTCTCTCAGAAGTTTAGCATTCAGCATAAAGTTTCTTTCTGCATCTGAGAAGTGGCACTCCTTAGAACCACAGTACCACTGCCCTTCTGTGCTTCAAACAGACTGACCTCAGGTCTTCTGCCTGAGTTGCGCTCTCTCTAGCCAGCCTTCGCAATGGGGATTATCTTAAATTCATACTAGAAAGTCTCCCGGGCATTTTACTGAGTTTGTATTAGGGAGTTGACACCAGGTTTATGGAGTTTCTTACATTTGTGAATATGCAGAAAGCTTCCTGGTGGGATTTACGTCATGTTAAGTTAGATAATATTTTCATTGATTTTCCTTGGAAATGGGTACCTTATTGTACTGGAAGCTTTTGTAAAAAACTATTTGGTGCAACTTCACCTCTGTAGCTTCATGAATACTACCATAAACTAGCCTTTAGCGATCAACTCTCAAACATGTACAATGCTGTATTAAAATAAAAGAAGTTCCTGTACTTCTGTGCCTGCAGAAATTAACAAAGAAGCTTACTTAAATGCAGCTTATCACTTAAGCTAATAGTGTTTTTAAAACATCTCAAACTGACTAGTGGTTATTAAAAAATTAATTTTCCTGGAGTTTGTGAACTTTTGTTTCTCTAATGGATCAAGGCTTTTCTAATTTTAAGAGCTAAATTGCACTCCCTAAAATATCCTAAACTGGGGTGGGGGTGGGGAGACAGAAGGTTTGATTACATTTGCATTTCTTTCTTCTCCCTGTACATCTCAGCTAAATCACTTTTAAACAGGGGAATTGAAGTATAGGATAGCATCTCTGTTTGACACCCCCTTGCTACCACTCCATCACCCCTTCCCACCACGGTCCAGCCCTCGCCTGTTGGCTGCATCCTCTACTCCAAGTACTTGGTCCGTAACAAGACCCTCCTTTCCCTTCTCTGCTCCTCCCTGAACATCCTCCTCACTCCAGCTTCACGTTTCAGTCAGAGATGGCTCTCTGATCATCAAGTTGTCAGTTACGCACTGAACTTGTAGCAAAGTTACTGTCAGTCCAGGCATTTAAAGCCAGACTTACCCCACACTACCTACTACACCCACTAAAATATCAAATGGCCATTTCAGTGTAAGCTGGGCAGTTTAATAACATGGAATTTTAGAGTGAGCTATACCCTAATGAGGATGAAGGGACACAGTTTTATCAACTACAGTGTGCTACTCTTCCTCCCTTTATTCGTACTCAGTGCTTTTGAAAAGTCATAACAAGCACTACAGTACCTTTTCTATCGATGGAAGTTACCAATTTTAAAAAAGCTTTACTGACGCTCCTAAGTACTGATGCCATTTCCTGTTTAATAGGAGGGAAGAGCCAACAGGAGAAGGGAAGACTCTCTGTTCCTTCTAATGACTGTATAGAAAGGCATCACCAAGCTAGTGCTATTACCTCCCTACATGACAAGCTGTCAGACTTGTAGATTTATTTCGGTGCAAACCACAGCTCCTTGATAAATTAATAAAAAAAAAATGCATTCCAACAGTCTGAGAGAGATAATGATCTGAAATAAATCTATAAAAGGTCTGCAAACAAAAAAGTAAATTCTAATGCTTATCATCCTGTACCGGAAATCAACTGCTAGAGGTAGTCGACTCATTTTTCTTAAGGTTTCAATTTCTATTTGGCAGGGGATAGGAGGTTGTCCTTTCTTCTGTGGAACCATAAAAGAACAAAATTTTAAAGCTAAAAGTTATTCATAGATTTCATACACCCTAATCACATACTGCGATTAAGAATGCAAAGATTGAAATATGGATTTTTTTAACCTTTTTTTGGTCTCAATAAGCATAGAAAACTACATACAATAGTGGTCTGTGACACCCTCTAATTAATTCCTTTTATATGTACCACAAGACTGCTTGGGGACAACGTATTTTTGTACTTCAATCACACACTAAAAATTAACGTGCAGAACTGAGGCAAAGCTCGTGACAACTGAAACGTGAAACGTAGGGTCCAGCAGCAGCTCTGTGAATCCCATCACAATGACACAGTTCACAGGCTGATGGCAAATGACTTCCAACTCTCCGCAGACAAGCACAACTTGCAAGCAGACAAGCTAGAAAGCTGCTTGTCCACAGAAGCCCTGGAGAAGAGCTCTTACCTTGAGCAATGTCATCCTGCCTTTGCAGGCAGGGTCGCTCAGCCTTCATCACCTGGGGAGGCTGCTCTGGCTCCTGCTGCTTGTAGCATTTGCCCTCATTGAACACCTGTGGCAGGTTGGCGGTGTGTACCTGCCGGAGCTGCTCATAGTCACTCAAAGCTGCTGTCAAGTCCCAATTTTTGCCTGCCAAACAGCAAAAGGACATTCTGCTCACATCTGTATGTGACCAGATTGATAACCTGGAAACCATCTTCATATGCACTTAAAATATAAACCTAAATAGAGGAATCGCTCTTTCTTAAAGCATCGGCAAGGGAATAGAGGTTCTTTGGATAAAACATTTTACAAGCACTCCTCCCGCAACAAAAATGCACAGTTGATAAACACCTTGAAAGTAAAGAGCAAATGGACAAAGATAGAAATCTTTTTATGTCTTTTTTTTTAAATTTCTATTTTAGGGTTTTTTTATATCATAATTGGAGAAGACCTCAGGAATGCTCTTGTCCAACCTCCTGCTCAAAGCAGGGTCAGCTATAAGATCAGACTAGATTGCTCAGGGCTTTATTCAGTTTGGTCTTTAAAATGCTAAGAATGGAGACTGTACAACCTCTCTGGGCAAACTGTTCCACATTTGACTGTCTTCATGGGACCTATGTCCACTCTGAACCTCTCTCATTTCAACTTATACCCATTGCCCCTTGTCCTCCTGTCGTGCACCACTGTGAAGAGCCCGGCTCAGACTCCTTGATAACCTTCCTACTGGCACTGGAAGGCTGCTGTTAGATCCCCTCAAAGCCTCCCCATTTCCAGCCTGAACAAGCCCTGCTCCCTCAGTCTCTCCTCATAAGACTTGTGGTCCAGCCCCCAACCACCTTTGTAGCCTTTCCCTGAGCTCAATCCAATTTATAGCTGTCTTCCTTGGACTGGGGGTGGGGGACAAAATTAGGCACGGTATTACAGATGTCTAATAAGTGCTGAGTAGAGAGGTATAAATCACTTCCCTCAGTCTACAGGCTATGGTCCTGTTGATGTAACTCAGCATATTGCTGGCTCTCCTAGCTGTCAGGTGACACGGCTGGTTCATGTGCAGCTTGCTGGCTACCAAGACCTCCAGGTTTTTTTCTGCCCAGTTATTTGCCCATCTAGTCTATGGTCCTGTTGATGTAACTCAGCATATTGCTGGCTCTCCTAGCTGTCAGGTGACACGGCTGGTTCATGTGCAGCTTGCTGGCTACCAAGACCTCCAGGTTTTTTTCTGCCCAGTTACATGCCCATCTAGTTGTCCACCCACCCAGACTGTAACATCCTAACCTGAATATAGCAATACTGTGGGAAAGTGTCAAAAGCCTTGCTAACGTTGAGGTAAAAAGTATCCACTGCTCTCCTCTCATCCACAAATCCAGGCATTTTATCATACAAGGCAATCAACGGCAGGACTTCCCTTGCTCGGATTCTGATCAAATGGCTCCAGAAACTGGCAATTTCAGATGAACACTAAATCCCACAGAATTTCACATGAAATAATGAGGCAGTAATAATTCACATCTGTACAGTTGTATTAATAATAAATAATAATTAGCAGTAATGATGGAAAGGCATGACTGTTAGTGTTATAGCACAAAAGAGAAAGAAACTTTCTTATTTTCCTATTTGCAGAGCAGCTAGAATGCAAATGCAAAATACTTTACATCCTTTTATCTTATACATCAGAGAGAACTTGCTCTCTCAGAGATTTAATTTGAGAGTCTCTTAGAAAGCAGATAATATAGGACAGTGTTTTGTAACAAAACGTGCAGTGAGAGGATTCGGCCAGTGTGGTTCCATGTCTGTGGGAGCTGCTCATGGAACCTGCCAACACAGAATCCTCTAAAAGATTTGCTTCCAAGCTCCCACTTCATCATATTGCTATGACCAATGACAACAGAACGCAGGCTAATATCCAGAGATAAAGAAGTCTGTTTAGTACAGGTAGTGAAATGGTACTTGTCACTCTCAAAAAATAATAATGAAAAAAATGTTGAGATGTTTGTATGTTATTTTCAAAACAATTCTGCTAAGTTAAAATACACAGATGTCCTAGCTTTCTCCAAGTACTTGGTTTTAATTGGAAAATTACAAATATTTAATAGCAAGTAAAAAGACCCCACTAATTATATGAGACTTTCACAGTGTTCCATGAGCACTTTTTCTGGAAATTCAAAAGTAACCTGATTCTGACTAATACATCATTTATTACACCATAAAAGGTTGTCACTTTATATACTTTGAGAAGCTACACTACCTGAGTAGCAGTTAAATATAACTTACTTGCTTACACAAAGGAGAATAAGCTAAAAATAGTACAAAGCAGTTTTATACAGATAAAAGAAAGTCTTTTACTGTTACAGTCATTTCTGTGAAGAACAAAAACCTAACTGAAGTAGGAAAAAAACAGCACAAACAGCTGTTACCTACAGGGTTGAGCTAAACTATCTCAGGTTTTGAAGTACTAAACAAAATTGTGAAAGGAGAATTAGTATCACCGAGCAAGAATGTTCTATACATCCTGAGTAGCCCATAATATAAACCACTATGTCAGTGATATGGAATCGTTATATATGTTATGCTGTAATCTTCTATTAGAAAGCCTGTAGGACAAAATGTAAATTCAGTGAAAATTGTCAGAGATCCTAGAACAAGCACTTGAGTTATTGCCAGCATCTTTTTTCTAAAAATCCCATGTAGATTCAATGGTTATAATCCAGTCAGGGCTCTACTCTAAAACAAAATTGTGAAAGGAGAATTAGTATCACCGAGCAAGAATGTTCTATACATCCTGAGTAGCCCATAATATACCCCACTATGTCAGTGATATGGAATCGTTATATATGTTATGCTAATCTTCTATCTATCTATCTAGCTATCTATCTATCCTATCTCTATAATCCCATGTAGATTCAATGGTTATAATCCAGTCAGGGCTCTACTCTAACTATATATCTATCTATCTATCTATCTATCTATCTATCTATCTATCTCTATCTCTCATCTGAATCAAGTTGCCCAACCCAAACATCGAAGAATCATGAGTGTGTTCCCAGGATTGATGTGATCACATATCAATGTTTGGAGTAGGGATTGCTTTTCTTTGGTCCTGTTTTTAGGAGGAGGCACTTACAATATGTTTTTGACATCTTCTGCTCAACCATGAGGACAATAAAGTAAACCTTTTTTTTAAAAGTGAAAGTGACAATAAATATAATTCTAGGAAATGTAGGTTTAAACAAAACAGTATTATCCGAGTACTGGCAATGCTACAAGTCCAGCGCTACGTGACTCCCAGCAGCAACCTGGGTTTATTCAGTACAGATCCTTGAGTAACAGACCTATATTAATAGAACACAGACAGCATTTCTCTAGTGTCAGGGTATTCCTTACAGGTCACCTGCTCAAGATATTTTCATGTTTAAGTTCTGAAATCTAACAAAAATCACTGCGCACGTGCTGTCAGTGGCTGCTGTGTGACAGGGCTTTGATGTATGCAATAGGAAAGCAGAAAATCAGTAGACTAACAGAAATCCTACTGTCCTTAGTTTTAGACCAAATACAATCATCTTATATAGAAGCTCTTTCATAAAAATTACAGTCAGCCTTCAGAAACTAGGCTCACAATGTGTTGCACTTAAAACGAAACTGCATAGTGACTCTTGAGTTACGCTCCATGGTACAATGTAGCAACTGAACTTCTAATACAGACTTGAAACTATACATCAAATAAAATTTCGATATCTAAGTGTATCTTACATAGAAATATTTTATTTTCAAATCTCTCCATCTCCCTGGAGTTGTCCCCATCTCCTGAACAAAATCACCAATCGGCACCAAAGCCTTAAACTTCAGAGAACCAACACAGGAAATGATTACTGGACTCACTTTCCCCAAATTTGCTGGAGCCTCCAAGCATCATAATGCAAGAAAAAAATTCATCCAAATCAGAGAACATATTAAGCATCCTCCCATCTCCATGAAATAGTGGGTTTGAATATTAGCCACCCTAACTGACTAGCATAAGTGTTACAGCTACACTCTGTACTGGAAACACGTAAGCTTGCCCCCTTTGCCAAGGCTTCCTCTCATTTTGGTTTATATTTTCACAGTAAATACAAATGACAGACCTTTTGTTTTTCCCATTGCCTATAAAAAAAGAGGAGAAATTCATCAGTTCGGGAGGATGAAAGAAGAAAATTCGTAAGTCAAAGTAGAGGAAACTGGAGGCAGCAAAGAGAATTAGGGGAAAGGAAGAGAGGAAAAAAACAGAGGCATTTATAAAAGACACTGTGTGAAGAAATACAAGTAAATACAAAAATCTAATGTAGTGCAAAATAAAAAAAATATGTAAACAGATCTAATAAAAAGTGTGATGTGATTTGGACCACAGAAATGGACAGCAGAAGCAATGGACAAGCTGGGAACAAATCAGAAAGGTTATTAAATTCAGAGATGTCCAGAGCAGATGATCTGAACAAGGATTTATAGCAGTGTGACATGGCAGGTGAGAAAGTTTCAGCTGAAAGTTACTGAAGAAACTAGTGGGGCTTAGGATTGTGGAGATGAATAAGAGCTAACTCTGCCTAGCTCTCCTCCTTTAAACTTTGCATACCAAAAGCTTTTGAATTTCTAAAGCTGTATCTTATTACATTCCAAACTAAGTTTTGAAAGAAGAAAAAAACCTGAGGTACGCTGGGTCAGAAATGACAAAAATAAATCCATGTAACATTGAAATCAAACATATCCCCCCCAATGCCTCATGGGGTAGGTCCCGCCTTCCAGTCTTGCTACTCGTCCAACAAGTTTCAGCAGGCTTCTGGTTTGGAGCAGACTGCATACGGTCCCTCTGTAAGAAAAGACTTACTCTTTCTATTATCTAAGTTCTGTTTGTATGTCTGTTCCCTGTTCTTCTCTGAAATCTCCTAGACTCTGCTCCTCACACAAGTCCCTACTCTGTCACACCTTTTTTATTTTCTTTAACTGCCGTCTCCTGCACAGGCCCTCAACAGAAAGGAACAATCTTTCCTATCCCACAGAGGTTACACCTGACATAGGCATTGACATGCCCTCCATCGCAAGGCTGAAGGAGAAGCAACAGGTAATTAATCTATTTTGCATAGTTTCATCAACTAAATTAAGTCAATTAAGACTTTTTG